AAAACCCAACCCTTTTTTTTTTTTTTTTTTTTGCATCAACCACTTTGCAGCTGGAAGACTTAGAAATTATCCATTCACTCGACTAGAGATGCAAGTCAGGTAGACACAATCAAATCCAGCACCTGCAGTGTCCAGGCACTAAATCCCCAAGCTTAGCCAAAAGCTTGTCCTTAAGACTGGGATAACCATGTGTAATGTGACCTAAATTAGGACTGGATGCACTTTAACTGTGAAATGCTGACATATGCATCCAGCATCTGACCTAAATAAGGAAACAGACCTTACCTGATTTTCATCTTAGTTCTTTTCATGTGATTGAAGCGCTTCTGAAAGGGCATCCAGTTACACAATCCTGGATGCCCTCTAGACAGGGCATATAACAGAGACAATAGCAGTGTAGTTTTCCCCACAGTATGCCACCAATGTTCCTCAGCTTTGTTATGGGGAATCATTTTGAGCTCTGCTTATTGCCCTGACTATGGGTAGTACACTGGTTCTTGGCTTTTTCTGTGCAGACAGAGCAGTGGTTTGTGAGGAGACCACTGTCCACTGAGACCCACCAAGCAATCATCATACGGTAACAGTTTTCAGTAACTATTAATCTGGGCTAGCTTTGCACTGGCAGGTTAAAGGTTTTCCGTGTCACTACACATTCCCTCAAACACCCAGTTCCACCTTTTAAGGGTCAAGGAACATCTTATCTTGAAGCAGGACCCAGTAAGTTTCATACCATTGGTTTCAAGTGTATAACATGAAGAGGGCGATTGATGGGTTTTTTTGAACCAGTTGCATCCTACTTGCTTGCTGTAAGAAAGAAAGAGTCAGAAAAAAGAAGTGTGACCTCAGTACAAAGCAGTGTACTTAAGAATGGATTTGTGTGTATATCATCATAGGCAGTTTATCCAGTTAGTTCACCTACAGCACTGCGGTTCCTAATATTAGGGCTTTATTAAATCATTCAGCAACCGAGTGTTATTGTCCTACATAGCCTGCTTAAAGTACAATAGGCATGTTTAAAGGATTTTAAAATCAACTAGTTTTGACACAGGACAGTACACACCTTGGCATGCTTCTGGTATTAACAAGATTCTGAAGTGTAAATAATAATCCTGCGATTCATTTTTCACACACAAGCAGCTATAAAGAGTCAAAATATTACTCAGACTTATTAGCATCCATCAAGCAAACTTCTTAGGGCAATTAAAAGTAATGGCAATTTAAAAATCAACTACAATTCATAACAAGTGCAGAGAAACAGGAACAATCCTATAACTGACTATTCCTGAAACATGGCTCCGGGGACTCAAATGTTGAGCTGGGTATTTTTCTCCCTCTTCTGTTACAATGAAGAAATAATCTGGATGAAGCCTAGGATTTTATCATCATCTACAGTAGTCAGGAGCACTGTTGGAGAGAGACTGACTTCTGTGCACTGAGTGGCTGGCACGGTCTCCAACCACTGTTAGTTAAAGCACCCAGACACGATATAGTTAACTTTGAGAAGGACTTTAAAAGAAGGTGGTCTGGTAGAGTCTATTGGCTGCAAAGGGATTTTAATAACGTGAGGAGCTGGCAGAGTTATACAGTCTTAAATCAGAACCTTCTTTAGCAAGTCTGGCGGAGGCAGAAGGGAGGGCTTCGCAGTTTGCAACGAAGGACTATCACAGTACACACTATGGCCATCACCTACCCATTCTCCTGTTCTCCCAGGGCACCTACCTTACTGTACGTCACTACTGACAAGTTGTTCGAGTGACTGCTGGGGGAGAGATTTACAGAGTTTTGTGACAGTCCGTTCTGATCTTGTTCGATTTGGTCAGGAGCAGGCCCCCACGTGTTTTTGCCGATTGTGCCTAACTCGGAACCCCCAGGGTCTTTTAGGTTGTTGTCATCTGGTTGCCTGTTCTTCTGTGGTGAGGCGAACGGGTTAAAGTTTCCTTCTACCTTGCGATGCGGTTGTGTGTTGAACTCTGTTTCGAAGGATGACAGCTGCTGCGTTACTCCTAGAAGTCCTCCAACTTCCACACTGAGGATCACCCAGATGACATCTGGAAAAAGTGAAGGACACTTTGGTCAGCACTAGATACAATTTACAGGGAACAGAGATTCTTCTTCTGCTACTTGTACCATAAAATTCTGCCCTTGCACAGCACCTTTCAGCCTGGGGAGTGGCCAACCTGCAATGTGAGTGCCGCAAGTGGCCCAGACAACCTCTGCATAGCACACAGCAGATCAAGGAGGAGATAGGCTGCACAGCAGGAGATAGGGCAGGAAGTATTAAAGGCAGAGCAGAGCAGAAGGGGACTGAAGTGGCACTCCGGGACAGAGCAGGGCCAACCTTTCTGGCAGACGTGCTGTAGTTTCAGTCAATCATTTTAAAGGCTTAACTGTTATCTATAAAGCACTAACACCTCTAAGGCAGCAGCAAGTACTCTTCTTACCAAACTCCTCAGCATGGCTGCCTAGCACTAAACAAACAACAGATCCCAGGAAGACATATTTCAGCTGGGTCCATACAAATCTGAAACAATAAGGGAGCATAAATGACTTGCCTAAGACCACGTAGGACTGCCAAGGGAAAGGTGCAAACAAAACCCAAGGGGCTCTACTCCCAGTCCTCTGCTCTTATGCACCAAACCATACCAGGGTCTGTTATACGAGTCATAACTTACTACTCGATAGTTCAGCGTAGCTGTGTCTATAATAATGCATTTCACCAATTTCTATTTCCAGCTCTAAATATTGGCAATAGGCTGACAAACTACCTTTGGCGCCTCACCACATTTTCTCCTATTTCATGCAACATTATGGTGAAAACTGAAATAAAATGTTAGGAAACTCTTAGTGGTCCAGTATAGAATGAAACTGTCCCCTGCACAAAGATGCTATTAGGCATTACTATAAAACTTCCGTTTATACCACTATACATACAGAATACCTGGTTTCTATAAATTAGCTTTCTGACTTGTACATCTACATTCTCAGTGTTGTAGTAGGAGCTTTTTGCATTAAAGCTTCCTTGCTTGTCTTCTTTTAGAAGACAAAGCAGCTACCTTATGGCATCTCAAAAAGACCGATGAATGAACCTAGCATGATACATGTAGTTCAGCACCTGGCTTTCCTTCAGCTACTTGATCACAGCGCGCGAGTGAGCTCAAGCCACGGTTCTCAACCTTTTTTGTACCGGGACCCATTTGTAAACATTGATGGCCAATCCCATTTAATAATTTAAGTAGAAAACAGCCCCCTGGCCCTTCCAGTGCCCCCCACCCGCAACCCCTCCAGTGTGTGGGGTTGGGGGTGGGTACATGGGGCATAAGGGGCCCCCAAGCAGCCCCCTGCAGGCTAGAACTCTGTCAACCTGCAAGGGAAAAGCCACGGCTTCCCTATATTTGTCTCCTTTAAAGATGAATCCATTTTTAAAAGTTTGCTCACTACCCTTTCATACAGTCTTGCGACCCACTTTTGGACCATCACCCGTGGGTTGAGAAACACTGAGCTAGAGGAAGACGACAGCAGGCTTCTTTGCAATTCGGTTTGGTCATTATTGCTACTTTTTACATTCAATCATATAGTTGGCAGGGTTTTAGCTGTGCTTAATTTACAAAACAATTAAAAAGTGGGATTCACATATAGCACCTTGCCTTCCAATTTCCTAATTAGCCGTCTTAGTTGCGCATAACAAATGTATGGCTGATTAAACACCCAAATACCCAGCTGATGTTCAAATCCCTCTAAGAAACAACAGTAAGGACTCCAAAAAGGCAGAGCCAATTAGACTAAACCCAGCCCAGTCCCATAATGCAATGACATTTACAGAAGACTCTTTTTGGCTCAGTAACAGTCAGCAGCATTCAGCAAGGGGGCTTGGCAAGCGGGGAGGCAGTGCCATCTGCTGTTATAGTACAGCAACTAACTCTTCACCTTCTACCTGAGGACATCAATAGCATTAAGCGTGGCAACTCAGCAAGTCTTCCATGTTGGTTGTAGCCGTGTAGGTCTAAGGACAAAGGCAGACCAGGTTCTTTGGGAAGATGCTCTCTCTTTCACTAGGATCAACTAAAATAGTTGGAAAAATTCTTCTTTGCAAGTTTTTGAGTACAAACACTCTTCCTCTGCCTGAAGAAGCGGTGTTTGTACCCAAAAGCTTGCAAAGAAAAAAATTTTCCAACTATTTTAGTTGGTCTGAAAAAAAGAGATCAGGTTTACCCAAAGAACCTTGTCGGCAACTCAGCAAAGGCCAGAGAGATTTCTACATGTTATTAGTGTGTCCTCCCCTGTTTAAAAGGGAACTGCTACATTTGGGTGTCTAAACAGCTTCTGATTATTCCCAGTCAAAAACCTGCTCAGACTGAAAAATGCTATAAGTATTTGAAAAGAATCACTTGCTTTACCTTACCTGCCAAGCCCAGAGAGTTTAGCCATTTGACCTGAAACAACTGACGAAATTGTTACTCCCTAGCACAGCTGCTCCTTCCCCGTCCTGCTGTAATTTCGCTGGTGCTTGCATTGAATCTTGAAATCAGAGCCCAAAAGGTCAGGGAAGGAGGAAGCACTTTTTTCCCCTGCTAGCATTTGTTTTAAGGTGAGTAATTTCTGTAATTCTTCACATTGTTATGCTGCCCTTCAGAAGTTTCAAAGGGGGACAAAAGCCATGTCTCTGCTTCTCCAAATATCAATGGAGAAGCTACATTTCATACATTATACACAGAAGCCGGGGCACTAATTTGTTTGGTTTCTTTTAAGTATCAGTGATATTTTCTCTAAGTGTGCCAAACAGCCAGGCCTTCACAAAATTCGCCACAGACTTGATCTCCATCATACAGGAATTACTGGATGATGATCTGTCCTGTGCTGTTTTGCAATAGGACCAACTAGTATGCCTCACCCCTTTGGGCCTATTAATTTTAAACAAGAAGCATGCATTACCTAACTGGCTCAAGGTTCACCTATGGAAAAAAATATAATACGTCTTGAACATCCTGCTGCAATAGTATAAGGCAAGGGAGTTCCTCCTAAAGAGCTGAAGAGGATGTGAAAGATTTTGTCACTAACTAAGTTCCAAGGAACTTACAACTAAACATTAATCCTGAGGTTTATTATTTCCAGAGAAGTAAAATCTTGACCTTTTCTGAAACACTCCTATGGGAAAGGGGATACGACTCATGAACTTTTAAATCACCTCAGCTTACGTCATTTCCCCTAGTACAGGAGACACAAGGCAGCATTTACTAGGGCTGTGCAAAACAGGCCCTATACGATTTAGATTCGGCCTGAATCTGGGACAGTGGTTGGATTAGTTGATTGAACTTCTGGTCCACTTCCGGGTCTGCCAGGGAGTGCACTGGGGGGCCCCACCATGCTCCCCCAACTCAGCGATTGTGTAAAAAGAGATTAAATTATCCAAACTAGATTTGAAAATGTTGGTGTTCAGTGGCTTGGTGTCACATGAATTCTGGGACAGACCACTTTAGACCAGCAAGAGCTAGGGAGCTTGTAAAACAGCACATTTTGTTCTGGGAATGAAGACAAGCATGTCATGTTATTGTAAATGCATGCCTCTAGTCTACCTATGGGGATGTTTCACCATCTTGTACCATCTATACTTTTCCCAGAGCCTGATGAAAGGACTTTGATCCTGAAAGCTTGCAAAAAAGGTCAATTTTCTTGCAATTTCCAAGTTGGTCTAACAAAGGGTATCATTTTGGAACCAAGAGTTCTAGGATTTTGTATACCTCCAGTTAATACTCAAGTAGCTCCAAATGACTCGAGGAAGCCAGTTTGAGTCTTTGCCAGGCTCTGACAGGAGGATTCCTTTAATAATGGAGTAGGGAATACTATAGCACGGCAATTGTACTCCCTCGATGCATAAAACCCTGACAGGTAGTCACCACAAGCTACTCCACCCATTTCTAGAAGGACACCCCTAGTGAAAATAGCCAGCACCAAGTCTAAAGGGGAAGAGATTAGGTGAGTGGGGACCCGAATATTACCATCTATTAGAAGTCACCTGAAAGGAAGCTTCCTTTCCATGCCCTGGACTCGGAAATGACAAGAGGATGATTTTACAAATAAAATTACTCCCACATTCCAAGCAGTAGCAATTTTATGACCAACTACACTTGTAGTTATGCAAGTTGTGAATAATCAAATCTCATGCTTCAGGGAGTCAGCTGATCATACCAAGAGATCAGGAAGAAATTCCACATCTCCAAAGTATACAGCAATAAACCGATTATCCATTATGAGGGTGTCGTCTTTCCTCAGGACTAATACTCTGCTTCAAAAGATATATCATTTGGTACAGCAAAACCTATGGTTTGAACTCAGGAACAAAAATACCAGACAGAGCAATAGAAGGGTTAAGCAAATTTAAAATCCTTTTGAACACTTCACTTCCAAATGAGTCTTAAAAATAAGAGTTGTGCACCCTTATACAGCCCTGTGACAAAGGCAACTGCAAGTTAAGCAGGCCTGCTGAACTGAAACCAAAATAGAGAAAGTTATAAAACTCATCCCTGCAATGAGAGCATATCCTTTTCCAAAATATTTTTGAAAAGGCTTGTATCTGCTAACATCTCTGTTCAAGAAGCATGGAGTTATGTGCATGAATAATTATTTTATCCCCTGGTGGTAATATTTCTCATTTGACCTCGATGTTGTCAGGGCACTCCAACTGCCAAAAAACCATGAAAGTCTTGTTAACAATATTTTCACTAGCCATTAATGCCAATAAAGGTTAGCTTCAAGTCTCCAAGGAATGAAATGTCCTGTAAACGATGCTAGTGGGTTATTTATTATTTAAATTCGGGTAGTGCTAAAATATCCCAGGGGCTTTCTAAATACTATGTCATATACTTTTCCAAAACTAGGTACATGAAGTTAGGGCTCATCTACATTGAATTTTTACCGGGGTGACAAGTAGGGGTTGCATGCGCACCCCCTGAGCATGGTTGTGCATCCCCTACTAAAAGGCACCACTGGCGGCATCTGCGGGTGGTCACCAACAGTACTGGCAGTGTCTGTGTGGGAGCTCCCGCTTACTACCACCGCTGTGCCCCCCCCCCCAGCCATTGGGGGCACATACCTTTCATGATTTTTACCATTATGACTAACTACGATTTGGCTGGGATTTCACCCAGGGCTTGTACATTGATATCAGTGATTTGTACTGTAAAATAGTTTCCTTCCATGACGTGAAATTCTGTAACATAGAAGCACTTTTATAACAATAACATGGTGTGCACAGTATAGGGCTTGTATTTGCTTTAAATAAGCCATTATCAGGAAAGCAGTACACAACTTTCTAGCTTAGACAAGCCAAATTAGGCTCCAAAGTCCATATCTGGGTACTTAAAATAGGTAGCCTGTTTTTTCAATAGTACTCAGTACCAATCAGCTTTAAGTTTGAAAAGAAAACAACAAGGACTTTTACTAGACTGTAAGTCTCTCTCTCAGTGAAACTAGCAGAAGGTTCTTTGCTCCAATCTTTTAGAAATGCACTGGACAAAGCCCTGAACTGAAAAAAAAAAAATTAGACAATAACCCTGAGCTAACCTCAAAGGAACGCACATAACAGATAGAAAAGATGCATCTAGTCACTCAGAAGCGGCAGGGCTGCGTCATCCTACTGTTCTACTTCTCATAGGAGCTAGTCGATACAAATTTTACATGCTTCAGAAAGAACGGGATGGTCACTGGCTGACTGGGACGGTTTTGAAGTCAGCACCTACAGAACACAAACCAAGGGCCTCCACAATCAAACGGCCATTGCTCTTCACACACTGCCAGAGGGTAGCATTGTTCTGACAGCCGCTGCAATAAAGCACACAGGAATAAAATGTACTATCCCATCTGATCATCATTTGGATATCAGAAAAGCACCAGGGATGCAAGCAAATATCTAAACAGCAGCGATAAAATAAGGAAGACTCCTACCTTGCATATTGTAGGAACATTACAAATAAGAGCCTGAACAGCAAGGAAAGGGATCACTTACCTCCATAATAGAGTCCTGTGGCGGTGCACATGCGCCACTGTCCCTGATACATTCCGGCTGCACTGGGGCTGCACATCTGAACGCTGACATCTGCAATCTCCTGGGGCTCTAGCGACCTGACCATCACCATGTTTACGTGGCCAAACTGGTCTCCCCCGACGTACTTTAGACAAACCCCTGGTGGCCATGCTTCCGTCCCTGGGTTTGAGCAGAAGATGGTGTTATGTGTGAGCGACAAAATAATTAAAGAAGCCTTGCATTATTTGCTTTGGAAGGACGATCAACTACAGACAAACAACGTTGTGCTGCCCTGCGAACAGTCAAGGAGACACCAAGCTGTGGAAGGCTATGGACAGAGGTAACTTTAACTTTGCAAAACAAAGGACCATGCATAGGCTATTATAACATAGGCTGTTACCACTGCCTATTTCTGGAGTGGTACAAACTAACTAAACCACTTTGAATTTAACCCCATCTCACTGCAACAGTTTTGCTAGACTTGTATTCCCACAGGCAGGCACATGTAACAGTTATCACAACAGTTGATATGGGAATCATTTGACCCCAGTACAATTGTTACATCTGTCTATATTCTAACAGACACCGGCTGAGTTGGGGTCCCACACAAACAGCCAGGGGTGACAGGAGAGGAGGAAGAGACCAGGTTTTCATTCAAAATATCACTGTTGCATCACGTGGCCAACTGAAAGGAAAAACGCACAGAACAATAAATCCTTTAAAAGCAGGAAACACAGTTGTAGTTTAACAGAGGCAAACAGCCCTCGATATATTAGCCGGGCACCCGTGATACCATTCTTGTCCATTTTAGCTACGTTGAAGACAAGCTGCACTCATCTGGCCTAGTTTTTCCCCTCTACCTCTTCTCAGAACTTCAACGATGTTATTAATAGGAAACATTTTCCTCCTGGGAGTCTTGCTCCTTTCTCTGTTTGTTGGCAGCTTCAGGGGGAGCCAACAGTTTTGTACTCCCCATTTATCAACCCGAGAGTAATTTTCTGCATTGTTGTGTTTCTCCTTTCTGCTTCAAATTGCCTTCCCAGCTTTGTACATGTGTGGACTGAACTCCGAACACAATCTTGCAGAGATCCAAGTTTAGCCTGCAGTACCAGGGACTGACACTGCAGCATGAAGAGATGGAATAGAGTGTTCCTGGGGACAGCTGCAGCAGGGAAAACAGCAGCTTCAGGAAGGAGTCAGAGACAAATGTGAGCAGACAAAGGGGGGGGAAAAAGTGTTTCTGAAACATCTGGCAGAGTTTGAAAGTGTCTTCAGAAAAGGTTTCTGGGGCGCCACTGCCCTTCAAACCTTTTCTGATGATGTAATATGAACCAGACCAATTAAATTTGGTTTCTCGGCTGTTGGTAATGCATTCGCTATGGTTGAAAATGACAGAAGCAGGTTAGGGAAATCTGTGGCTGCAGAGGACCATGGACTTATCTGTCAGCCTATTCTGAGACAGTAACAGTAGATTCCTGTAGTGGCCCAAGGGCACCTTGACGGAGTGACACTGATAGCTGATCTACCAAAATAATCAGTTCTCTGGAGATGCTGCAGTAAGGACACAGCCAAAGTACCTGGTCCTGTAGGCAAGTCCCCATTATTAGTGGGTTTGCAACACAGACTGAAAATCTTAAACGGAGGAAGCATCAGTGTGGGATATATGGAACGGGAGCAAGGCAGCGCTTCCTGGATTTTCTACAGTTAGAAAATAGCATATGGGGGCTGGGGAGGGACTAGAAAGTGAGGCTCCAGGCAGTTTAGCTGGTCTTGCAATGTGGATTATGGGAGGCAGTGAAAAAACTTGTCTGAAAGGGTTAGCAGCCCAGCAGCGTAGTTTGGCTTAAATAATTTATGTGGGGGTTTTTCTCAGTTTTAAAACCTTTAAATTTGCTAGACGTCTACAGTGCTGCAGCTAAGCACCACAGAATGACATAATCATTGTTTCATTTTTATTTCAGTACATGCATCTCTTAGGAAGATGATAAATCGTAATAATCATGCTGTGGAGTTAGTCGCAGCTGGGCACACAGTGGGAAAAGGAAATAAGCTGGTTGAAGTCCACTGCTTTTTAGGAAATAGTGTTATTATACAACCTGGTCTTTTAGTACACAAGGAAATGACAACGTTGAAAGACCAGGTATTAACCTATACTAAGCAAAAGGGCTGAAACCACCTGACTCGTAAATAGTAGTGCACATATACATTATGAATGACGTCTTCTGTAGAGTTCTAACAAATGACAACACAGTAGTTAAGTTGGGTTGCAACTAAAATGAGTTTTAACACTGTGGTCTGACCTTCCTGTCTGGAGCCAAACTTTGTTGCAACTAAATTAAAAAAAAAAAAAAAAAAAAAAAAGACAGGCTTTAGCCCAGGTTGAAGCCAAAACAAAGCATAGTTTTGAAAGGAACCCACAAAAGCCATGGAAGTCTAAGCTCAAGCTTTCATCCCTCTACCCACATCTCTGACCAGACCAAAGGATTCTGAAGGGAAACAAATTCTAAAGAATATTTTATTCATCTAGCTTAAAATAGGTATCCTTTTGAAAGTGTTTGGACTTTCTCTTTTATGAAGGTCCAGTAATTTGGGGGAAGGAAAAATATTCAAGAGGATGTGGGTGTAGAAATGGGGTTTATCAATCATAACGGTCCATAAGTTTGCCAATTATGTTTGCATATTACCATAATTATACTACATAAAAAAATCTCTTTCCACTTTGCATCAACCACACAGGCAAGTTCAATGTGATACCTGAAACAGACGCTGAGCATAATATTACCTCTAACTGATAAAATGTCCATTTTCACGGTTTCTTATATCAAACGTTCAAATGATTCAGTTCAAATACTGATCTTTTTTTAATCTGGTTTTATGCTTAGCATATTGCTGTACACTGCCCAAGCACTGCAGTCATTTATAAACAGGATTAACATAGCTGTAGTTTACTCATGGAGATTACAGGACACGTATGAATCCTTGTTGTACTGTCATTCTTCTGCCAGAAGTAGCAAGCAAGTCAATTAAATTCAGATCCACAGGATAAATATACATATGATATCCTGTCACTGCAACACTTGAGGGTCAAGTATTTCCCTTTGCATCTAGGGATCGGAGTTTCCTTCCATAATTATATCCCAAAAGATTAAGGCTGAGCATTTATTTTGCCTGGCCTCGTATGACAATTATTCTTTTGACTCACCTCATGCTGGAATGTTGCCTCCACAGACTTGCACTGCATACTACTCACTAAGGGCCCACATCAAGATTACTTCATTCCCTGTAACTTCAATTTTAATGGACTTGCGGTGACACAGCCTTGTACAGAGAGTAATTTTGCCCAACTTTACATCATCTCTTCTCAGAACTGCATTACGGCATCACCTTTGCTGACCATTTCAAGAAAACAGCCCCACAGTGAAGAAATTACTTACGTAGAAACAGAAAGCTTTATAAGAAGTGGCTGTAACTTATAGGCTGCTCATGAGGTGAGAAGTTTTAATAAAAGTCTTATTTTTCCAGCTGAAAAAATCTTTAAGGCTAAACTGTTTCCATCCTCTTGATGAAAAAAAAAATAGAAACGACTTATTTTTAAGTCAGAGGAAAGATTGCAGTAAGTCCTGTCTGGAGTTTATATACAAAAGACTAACTTCTTCTGCACTTCTACTATAGAAGTTGCCAAATAAAGATGGAGACAGGAATTCCTGATGAAAGATCACTGATCACGTATCTGCCTATAACAGAAATTTGGCTAACGCTGGCTCCTGATAATCTGCTAATTTCAATGTCACGTAGCCTTCACGTCTGTTGACAAAACGGACACGAAGGATACAGGATCAGATCCTAAAGCACCACTCCCTACAGCAGTCTGGCTAACTCTGTTCGTAGAGTGCCGTTCCAACAGAACAGACATCCCCATTAAATGCTTCCTAACTGCTATATTCTAATGAAAAAAAGAAAAAAAAACCTCTCTCACTAAAAGTAGAAAAAAACGAACCCTTTTAGAACCACTAAGTCAGTTTTATGTTTGGACTAAATTTGCATATACATTGAACTATAATTTTATTGCAATATATATTTGCAATTAACACCCCCCCGATCCCCGAACTGTTAGGCTAGGCAACCGCCAAAGAGAAAAAATGACATCCCCTTGTATACAATGGCGCTACCAGGTCACTATGCTTATCCAGAACTCCAGAGAAATACAGACAAAATAACGAAAGTACAACAAGACACACCAATGCAGCTGACAGAATAGAAACCGTTAAAATGACCAAATATACATATGGGACATGAAAAAAGAGGTTGCAAGGTCTTTTCAAACCATACAGCCACCATCTGGCTCTGTCCCCTGCTGTGATACCTCCAACATAATAGAACCCCCTTGGGAAGGGCAGAGAGGAGGGGAGAAGAGGAAAGAGCTCACAGAAACAGCACATGGACAGCAGGTATCACATTACATTTGCTTTTCTGGAAGGCTATCCTTTCTTTCTCTCCTATTTACAGCGTTGCATTGGAGACTCTCCAGCAAGTCCCAGCTGCCACAGGGAGTAAAGGAGAATTAGACAGAAGTCACAGCTCCTCACACATCAAAACAACATGTCTGGCCAAGTGAAAGGAAGTATCAACATCCAAAAAAAGGAAAGATTTTCAAGACCACAGGGAAGTTAAGAACCTAATTCCCATTGATTTTTGATGGGAGTCAAACCCTAACTGGGTTTTGTCTTTGAAAACCTCCCCCTTAGCTATTGGCAGAAAATTACAGTTGTCAATAGTTTTGGTCTCTGATAGTTACTTAAGGTTTTAAGTAACTAAATTGGTCTCTATGACACGTCCAACTCGGCTTAAAACATGAGGGAAGAGGTTTCTCACATACCTGTGTTTTGTATTCTCCATGTTTTTGTAAACTGGGTATCAGGAGGGATAGACTCTCCTTCTCCTATGGTGACGTCTTCAACAAAGGACATGGAGGGCACATTGATGTTTGGACTCTCGAAGTCGTAGTACGCTCCAATGGCTGCTTGCAAGTTCCTGGAAAGCAAAACAGACTGTAGCTGTAAGTACAGACCGGTTACTTCCTTATGAGCTCCTTTTGGTTTATTTTAGCATAAAGGAGCCATCCCATCCACAGACACCACAAAAGTTGGGTCTTAAAGTAACCAGGTCTGTAACACAGCCTTTTGTGTATGACATGTCATATACAGAACTGCAGGACTTCCCTTTGCTCACTGCTGACAGCACGCTCACCCCAATAAAGAGCCCCAACTTCAAGAAGTTCACAGTCCATTTCAGAAGACAACGTTCTTAAGATAAGTCACAGAAGATAGCAGAAGTTTGCTGTGGTAGTCATTTTAGGTCCTCCATGTTGTGGACTCCAAAAAAATCATAACAGATGCTTAATAATTTAAGTCATGCGATCTTTAGGGTGGAAAAATGAACGGTCAAATGACGCAATGAATATTCCCAAGTCCTAACTTGTATGCCAAATTACACCATAACTTGTTTTGTAAACTGTATCTAGATCACTTAACCCTCCCCACATTACCCACCTAAAATAGAGCTAAAATGTCGGTGACACTATAAGAATTCACAACAGAGCCTTCCAAAACTTTTGGAAGCAAGGCACAGTTACGATGGAGGTTAGATGACGCCCTGTTAAAGCAGGTGAGTGAAATGGCCATTCATATTCATTCAGAATAGAGGTGCACAGCAGTTATGGTCCCTTCTAGAGCCCAGCTGAAAGAGCAGGACCCATTACCAAAATACATGGTGGGCAAGCCCAGCCAGAAGCTGAATTATTTCAGGTGGAGGTGCGTATCGGAGAAGGAGCATCTAGGTTATGGCAGTGAGAAAGCAAAAGCAGAATTCACAAAGGTAGGACACGCAGCACAACCCTGAGAGAAAGTGAAACCCTGAGACAGGTTTGAAACTACAAACAAAATGCTTCCTGTCTGATTCCTGCTCTTCAAGGAAACAGGCCTGTGGGCACACACTTAAGTTAGCTGAAGTGCCACCAAGAATTTCTATTCATAAGCAGCTATGAATTTCTGCTCCTTATGAAAGCCACCTGCAAATCGCCAAACACTGGCTAATAGTTGGGTCAAAAAAAGGTTCCGTCACGCCTGTCTAAAACTATCATGAAGGAGGACAGAGGGAACAGATAGCTCGGTTCAGATCAGAGCTGTCATATTTACCCAGCCAAATCTGGACCGTGGGGCTCCTTGTGGGGACAGATCCAGACTTGGGGAGGGGGGGGGAGTGTCATGACATCACGGAGTCAAGGGGGATTAATGCACCCATTGCTCAACCCCTGCCCCAACATGCTTTCCCCAATGGGTCTCAGTATCCGGGATTTCAGCAGTCAGCCCTACCCCAAAATCCCAGTCCTTCTAAGAGTCCCGAAGGCTAAAGGACACAGCTTCAGAAACTGTGGGATGTTTGACACCCATTTTAGATGCATCTGTTCCCACTATGAATCAAGACATTTGTGGCTATACTAAACCAATGGGGTTCCTACCAATGCCCAGTTGAACTCGTGCTAATGAATTAGGCGGCACTGAAGGAACATTTTGTACACAGACAGGGACGTCAAAGGTCATACGAGTTAAGGGGTTTTCTTATTGTTAGTTTTCACCTTAGTACACAACGGAACTTGATATTAATAGTCGCTCTGCAAGATTTTCCCTGTGATACATAGTTAACAATGAATTTTATACTACAACCCATTATTCAACTCCAGGCATTTTCTGCTTATCAGTGACAGGGCTATATTTAAAACAGCCAGCTCAGTCAAATGCTACGGGAAGGGTGCATGTCACATTAGCCAATAAATGGAGACAAATGCTAGTTTTATGTCACCAGCCGCCTGTTGCTTATACACTGAACAAGATTTACATAACTTGCAGTGGGGCCGTGCCAAGAGGCTCCTGTTCACTCAACCGATTAACATGATGATCTAGATCTGGAGGTTAGTCTTCACTGAAATTTCTTCACCATGTTACACGCTGATTCAACCTGAAAGATATTATGATAACCAGACACAGTATTGCCTACAGCCTTGCCTTTTCCACTCCACAAATACACCAAGGTTAACCTGCAGACATCCCAAGATGTCTGATCCCAGGAGCCCAATACACAAGGGGCAGCAAAAATCCTCCATCTGCATTAAGACAAAGGACCGATCTTAAACGGAAATTTCTGCAGTTCTTCCAAAGGCAGCCTGCAGCATTTTGTTCTGTCTGTTTGGCTGGTAAATATGCTTCAGGGGGCAGTGGGTTATTTGTGCACCTAGGCCTTCTGCCAATTCACTTCCCCTCCCCGTGTCATATTTCATCAGCTCGCCTCGCCACTGGGAAATGATTCAGAATGTGCTGCAGCATTTAGTTAAAAACTAACCCAAGGAGAATGCAGGCTGAACAGCGGACTCGCTGTCCCAGCGTGATCAGGTATCACAAACCCTCCTCCTACCTGCCCTGGCTCCATTCTGCTGAGCAAACAGTTCTAGGGTTGTGTTTTTTTGTTTGATTCCCTTTTTCTGATGTTTCTCCTTGGGCTCTCCCAGTGGAGAATTAAAGGAATTTTCCAGAACTGAAGAGAAATTGAAAGTAGTGGACTAGAAAGTGGCAGGAGTCACGGTCAGGATGACAAAGCAAATTGCAAACTGAAGTTCATGCAGAAGAACGTTCTCGTTCCGGCACAGAGAAACCTGCTGCAGGGCCATATGGCACCGCCCTGCTGCCACAGCGCCTGGTCCTTTGCAGTCACGTGCTTCACGGTTACACAAGCGGCAACAGAGACTGGACAGTAACACTTCCCTGTTGTCTTTGGCTCCTGGCAAAAACCAAGTCAGTTGCAGCATGATGTTGGGAAAGCACGTCTTGCACTTGCAGATGGACCTGTACACTTCCTGCACTCTCAGCAGCAATTGACAGTGGCATTACTAACTCCTCACACCCAATTCAGTATCAGAGGCTTTTACGGGCAAATGCATACTTAAGAAGACAAAAACAATAAAGCCAAAACTTCATTTCTATTCCTATATGTTTTTGCTGGCCTGAAGTTCGAGCCTGGCTAACCCCTCATCTTTGAATCTTCCTCAGCTCATGTTGTCCCCTTCATCTCCATTTTGCCAAGCCTGGCTATGTCACTCTCCTACAAACTCACTTTTCAACCATCTTCCCACAGCTTCTGCTTCCTACATGATACAAGTCCCAACATAAATTAATAATAAAACCTGGAACTGCAAGGTGACTGTCCAATGTAACACATAGGACTATGCTGTCATGGATGCTTGGCTAGCTGCTTTTATCCTCTTTCTGGTTGGACTGTTTGGAGACAGCTCTTGTTGTAACAGCCAATCTAGTCAGACAGGAAACATCCCAAGAGTCAGGCCAACACAGAATATTCATGCATTAAAGTAAGTCACAAGCTATACGCTTTCCTCCCTGTACCAACTCCTTTGCCAGGCAAACCTTAGGCACATTAAAGCAATTTTAGGATACATTCTATAGGTTAAAAAAAAAGTAAGCCTCATTCTGTTCCAAACATGGACTGAGACAGAGGTAATGACTTGCTTATGGCCAAACGGAGCAAAGAGCAAAGCAGGGAACGGAATATAAAAGCCATACTTCATCCTGCTTTAACCATTAGGAACTGCTGGTCTCCCAATAGATTTGGTCGCTGCTACTGCCCTCAAATGACAAAGCAATTAGTCTCCATAAACACAGAAGACAATATTGACAATTTTTTTTGTGTAAAAATACATCTTTTTTTAAAGATAGATAGATAGATAGATAGATAGATGGTTATGTGTGTGCACACATACACACACACACCCACACCTTCTAGTCACTGATCATTGTCTCCTTAACCACCACAGGAACCCAAACACCCGTTACAATACACGCACGTGTGGAAAGGCGCTCCCAGAAGTCCAGGAACCTCCTAATGTACAGGCACACGAACCTCAAGGTGGTAGACAGACTGTGTTAAAATGGCTTTGAGTGATTTCCATTCCTACTACCAAAAATCAGTAGCAGAGGACGGTGAGGACGCAGCCAAATCCACCTGGCAGAGGACACTTGGCATAGGATCTTTCAAGACCTCCCCCTGCACTGGGGAAATGGACAGCGACAGTAAAGAAAACACTGAGACAACCAGATTAGAAGACAATATTGACAGATACTTCTTACAACTGAGACACCTGGATGTGTGTGTTAGCCTTCTCAAGCCAGATAAAAGGAAAGCTGAATGGGAAATTGCAAACCATGTCACAACTATAGACTTCCAGCAACACTTCTGATCCAATTACCAAGTCAGCTCAGTATGGGGAATGACCTTTTGTCTGTGGTTGTGTTGAGTACAAGGTGTGAATATGTAGGCAATGGTGTTTCCCCCCCCCGAAAGAATGATTTGCTCATTAATACATTTTGTAATTTCTCACAAGGGCACTAGGAGAATTATGATAATATGAATAAAAGTTACTTCTTTATCCGAAGCTTGCAAGGGTTAATGTTGGTTTGTAAAGTGCTTTGAAATCCTTTAATGAAAGTACTCTACACAATGCAGAACAGAACCCGTATCAGAATGCTGTTTAACATTAGTGATTCAACTGCATATTAGTTCAGTCACATAGTACATGCAAGTTTGGATATCCTACTGACTACGGCCTTCCCTTACAGCCACCACACCTGAAAAGCATTAAAAAGGTCAAGGATTGACACTTAAGAAAAACAAAGCCACTCAGTAAAGCACAGCCTCTTTGCTTCCCAGATAACCACATACCCCAGGCCACCATAAACTGTAGTCTTCAGATTCTGAATTGTATGCAGGTTGAAGTTTATGCTGAGCAGAAAGCACCCTCAAATGATGCCCTTGTTTCATCTGAGCTGAAATGGGAAATGCAAACTGATCAACAGACTGAGTCGCTTAGTTTTATGGGGCAGCTACAATGCAGAAGACTACAGAGTTGTACTCTTCTCTTCTGGCAACGTTCTACATGGCCTCCCACTTTAACACAATGAAAGGGGAAT